GTGTGTATGTGCATGCATGTGTGTGTATTTGTGTGCATTAGTGTAAAAGTGTTTCCCCTCTTCCTGCATGTGTTCCTTCAGCATGTTCCACCATAGACTTAGAGTTTCTAGAGCTGAGCAAAGAGAAGTGGGCAGTAAACCTGCACTGAACACTACAAAATGTGTCTTTGTACAATAAAAAAATTATTTAAAAAAATTATAAAACCAATTATATGATTCTAAAACATACAAACTCTGATATATGAGCACCCGATCAACAAGAGGTGACCGAGGTTCAGGTCTGCAAATATCAGTATTCGTATTTATTTACTTTCAGTGGAATCATATCATGGGGATAAAATTATGACGTTTTACAAAATGAATTATTAAAAGCTATAATGAAAAACTAAGAAAGATAGTTAGAGAAGTTCTTGTTTTACATGGACGAAGAGTTTGATGTAATAAAACACAGAAACATGTCCATTAATAAAGAAAGAAGTATTCTTAGAAATACTGATTTCAGCCTTATTGGCCAGTCTTAGCTACAAACCGTTAAAGGTTAAATAAAAAAACAAAAAAACACATAAGTTCAAGGATTTTTGAGGACAATACCTATTTTACAGGGTAAAAATTACCAGTATGGTGGCCGATATAGTACTGGAATGAAAAGGTATTTTATTTCTGCATTATGTAACACTTTTAGGATGCCAGTATCAATTGTCTGCAAAAAGCTAATATTGGTCGACCAATATATCGCCAGGCTCTAAAATAAACCGTGGAGAAGTGCTTGATGCAATGATGAAAGCTAAAATACAAAATGCATCCTTCTCCTCATTGAAAGTTTTAATTAAATAGTAATTTGGGTATTTCATGTCTTAATTAAATAAATCAAAATAATATTTTCACACATATAATCTGTTCCTGTCCATAAAAGCAGATGTGTTGTGTAGAAAAACAAAATGGGTCACCCTGACCTCCTCCTGACTCATCATTAGTCCACACACAGTGTGACATATTGTGTTGGCAGATTAATATGTTGCAAAGAACAGCAGCCACAGTGAACTGTATACCAACCAATAGGAAAGAAGACCTTGCAGCACTGAAATGGCAAAGATAAGTGAGCACCTGTTTAAAAGAACAGTGTTGCTAGTATA